CGTTTTAAGTGGCTAGGATTGATTAATATAAACTTATCAAACATCTATTGCAGTATGTGTAGGGTCATAGGTCATTTGGGAAATCAATGTCTGCCCAAGCTTTAAATATGTGGCAGATGTTAAGATGAACTGAGGTGCTGCTTCCTCATGATGTCATTTATATTGTAAAGTGCACCTGCCCCTCTTGCAGCTAAACACCCATACAACATGACACCACCCCTAACATACTTTACAGTTGAGAAGGGGTTCTAAGACTGGCAAGCTGCCTCATTTCCTCCATGTGTAACAGTGTCCAATAAACATATTAATGAGGAAATATAGCGAAGAACTGCCCGAAATGTAAAACAGTTTATTTACACTATACCTACTGTATGGTAACAGTAAATAAAGCTAATGTATTTGGTGTCACTTGTTGCATAAGGCAGCATAAATAGTTTTAGAAAGTAAAATGATGGTGGGTATGTTCAAACAAACTCAAACTGCAACCAAGATCTCAGTCCAACACAGCATTTTCCTGTTTTCTTTTATAATTTCCAATGCACTACTCCCTAAGTTCTATGCTTGCAATCAACCAAAACCAGAAGGGAATAAACTTTTTTTAAATTATTTCTTTACATAGAGCAACTCAAATACTTAGAATTTGCAAGAATCGCCAGTATTTTTTCTTATCCTTTTTATCGTGCAGGCCTAAGCTAAACAATTCATTTAGTGTTGTTAGAGACATCAGGAGATGTCTCTAAAAAGGTATTTGTCCCTGAATATGTTAGAAAAATGTAACTTGTGTTGCTGTTTGCTGGGAAGGCTTCTTCCAGTACGGTTACTGTAAAAGAATGTAACTTATTTACCAGCTACATCTTTCATTTTTATAAAGTCCTTTAATTTTTTTTGGAGATTTATATTTTATATTTCCCACCAAAGATGTGCATCTCTGAGATAGCCTAATAAACGATATAAGGGCTCATCTTTCCTATGCTGTTCATGTTTGTGAAACTAATTTAAATAGCTTATTATAGTATCATAGCTAAGAAGATATCAAACTTATGGAGGTCAACAATTTTGCTCCTGACATCTTGATTGATTTCTTTATGTTTATCTGATTTCACAAAATAAAGCAGCGATTTAAGTGGTCATAGAATGATTCTATAGGTTATTTGGTGCTAGTCCTTAAGGTCTCTGAATAGGGCGTGTAACATTGGTTGGGCTGAAAATGGCATATTTGCTGCTCCAGAATGAAACGACAGGTTTTCTTCCTTTTATGGTATGATCATGAATATTTAGATGAGCTGCGCGCTGATTGGTTGGTTTACAAAGAGCGAAGCTGCTGAGCGAAGACTCATCATAGCAACAAGCACTCACTCACTAAAACATCAAATAGTTGATATGGTAGGGTGACCAGACGTCCCCTTTTTCCTGGACAGGTCCTATTTTTCATACCTAAAAAAAGGTCCGGGGGAATTTTAAAGTCGTCCTGGATTTTGGTCGACTAAAGTGCAACCGTGTTACTGGCCCCTGGCCCCCTCCTCCGGCTGAGGATGGTGGCTCGTAGCTCTCTGGACCGGTTTTGCATTTTATGACCCCTTTAAAGGCTCTGCCTTGGAGTTTATCCACACTTACCTCCTGTTATACTCAAATGGTTTTATGAAAATGTTTAATAAACTAAACATAATGGAAAAGAAAATCCCTTTATTGTCCCACATTTTGTTATTTTAGAATATTCTAATGTTTAGAATAGTGCAAAGCTATAAGAAAAATCAGTTGAACTTTTGCTTGATTGTTAAATTAATTTTCACTTCAAATGACCCTTAAATTATTGTAACTTTAGAATACAATGGTAATACATTTTCTTTCTTTTTTTAGTCTCCGTCAATTTTTTACTGTAAATTGTTGGGTCTTTACCGTTTTACCTGTTTTTGATTTGTGAATTCACAAACTTCCGAAAAATACAAAAGCCAAAAGTGTTTGCCTTAATACAGAAATGTGTTGGACCAATGGAATGCAAGCAAGCAAAACAAAGATGGCTTTAGCTGGAATACCCTCTATTTCTTTTTGGAAAAACAAGCAAAAGGACACGATTGTGCCTTTGTGGATGGGAAAAATGTTTGCATGTTCCTCCTGACTGGATTTGATTTTGATTTATTAGATAACACCGCCAGTTGTGAAACAAATCAAGAATGAGATATGACACAACTGCTACTGCTGCTGTGATTGGCTAATGACTTCATATGGGAGGCAGGGACCCAATCAGTTTAATGAATCGTACTGAATATCCCCCCCATTTGTAGAATTCAATTATAGAATTCATATTGAACTACACATATCAATCTGGTTTATCACACGTTAGTTGGGTCCCTCTAAGGAACTGAAAAATCCAGTCGGAACATTTCTTCTAAGAAACAAATCTCTGAGAATTATTACAGTACTACCAGGACTCTCATAGACATTTACTATTGGTCCTGTATGAAGTTCTTACAGATTCTTCAATCACAGCTTACACCTAAAATTCTCTTTTTTGTTGGAAATACCTTTAAACCATGTCTAAAGAGAAAAATTAATTTGGCTTAAACTATGATGCTTGTGATTACTAATGCAATATCTTCATAATTAGACATTGCTCACTCATTAACCGACATATTATATAAAGGTTTATTACTTTTTATGTGCTCTATATATAGATTTGTTTTATACAGATTTCCATTTAGAAATTGTGATGTGTGCTGTAAAACTGAAAACCTTATTTTCATCAAAATTTACTGTACCTTTGCATTGAAGTTTAGAAGGTACTGTATCCTGTTAATGCATAACCAAAGCATATCTGTATATGTTTAAAGTTCATTTAGATGTATTATTATTTTTTATATTATTGTTTTCTCTTTCAGAACAGTACAAAACTTTGTCTTTTTTGTTTTTATTAATAACTGAATTTTAGTCCTGAAGTAGAAATAGTCATTTTCCAGACATCGATATTATTACCTCAATATTACCACTGAAAATATTATGAAAATGTATCACGGTTACAAAATGACTTAATATGCCCTAATGAAAAGAATTAATGGGGGGGAAAAAATGTAATTTCAAAACAGCACTGTTAATAAGAGTGATTGGTCATGCTCAGAGATGGCATGGCGAAAAAGGGAAAACCTGCAAACTCCAAGCACAGAGAAAATTCCCAGCTTGGATTTTTAGGACCTTCTAGCTGCAAGGCGATTTTGCCTTTCACCATGCAGCCAAAAAAAACTATTTGGTTAAGTATTGGAGAGGTACGGTAGACTTCTATTTGACAGCTGACAGGGGCTTTATTACTTTTCACAATGAACTCTACTTACTCCAGTTTTTTCATAACCTCCATCCATTCATCCATCTTTCTTCTATTGCTGCTGCACCAGGGTCACAAGGGGCTGGTGCCTATTTCCAGTATTCTATGGTTAAGTAAAAGGTGGGGTATACTCTGGTCAGCAATCCACCAGAGTGACACAAAGACTACAACCATGAACACACCCACTCCTGCAATCAGAGTCACCAATACACTAGAGTCACCTATATATATATATATATATATATATGTTTTTGGGGTTTTTTTGACTCTGAGAGGAAGATGCAATACTTTGAGAGAAGCCACACATGCACAGGGAGAACCTGCAAACTCCATGCAGAAGGACCCAATACTGGGGATCTAACACAGAACCTTAAAAGGTGAGTATATATATATATATATATATATATATATATATATATATATATATATATATATATATATATATGAAAATATCATAGTTCCTTGCAACTATTTGTATTTTACTTTTTTTTTTTCTTGAATATATTGCTTGTTTGGACAACAATAAATCTTGTATAGGTTTGTTTGCTATTCTGACTATAAATAAGCAGTTAATTCTTCCACAGCAAGAGTCTCTGAAAATGACTTCACAGCTCTGTTATATGTGAACAGAATAAGTCATTGCTTTTCTTATTTGGTAAAAATGAGGCTTTGTTGATCCACTAAGTATGACATCAGAGAACTAACCCTAGTTTAATTTACTGTTATCATAAGAACAGAGAGAGAAAAGATAAAATGAATGTGGAGATTCATTTAAACCCTAAAATTAGTAGGCAGCTGATAAAATACCGAAGCACATGCCAGGCATAAGGATGCCAAGAAAGGAGCCAATCTTTTTTTTTACTTCCTCTGTCTTTCCCTCTCTCTCCCCTTACTCATTCTGGAGGGGCCAGGAGAATAAAAGCTGGTCCAACTGGCTGGCCAGATAAGCTAGACCAGAAAGAGCACACAGACAGAAGAGAGGGGTTCATCTGGTTTGCATGAGGGGTGAGAGTCAAAAGGAAAAAAAAAAGCTGGGAATCCAACTGCCTCCCCTCCTCATCCTCCCTCTGCCTCCGCACACATACAGGGACAGTCACATATGGGGGCTTGAACAAAGATGCACTTGGTCAACAGCATTGTAGAGGCTGGCACAGCTCACAGCTCTGTGCGCTTTCGGACTCAGCCTTCATCATCCCAGCTCCTGCCCCAGCTTATCAGCATCCCAGTGGCTTGCACTCTGCCCTGGCTGCCAAGGCTGCAGGAGGAGCAGATAGTGGAGAGCTGACTGACTGCCTCACTGCCTGGCTGACTATCTCCAAGCTTAATACTTCACACTATTTTTTCGCCTGATGACCACTGATCTGCTGCGCTACCCAGAATAATCCACACGCTTAGAAAAAAAGAATCTTCACATGCAGGCTGCTGCAGTCTTTGTCTAATACAGCTGAATGAAATGTATCCTCTGATGGTTTCCTTATTCTCATCTAACCAGAAAAAAAGAGCTGCTCTCCCTATTTTCTGTGAATGATATCTTTTTTCTTAGATCATCACCTGCCTCTCGTCACAGGTGGTCTAAAGAGATCCTTTAAAACAACAAGTGCACAGCTTCAGCGCTGTGTAAAGTCATGCAACTTTCAGCTTCTGCACAATGGTTTGAAAAAAAATAGGCAAAATGTTGAATACTCACCTTGAAACAGCAGGAGACTCATTCATGGGTTGTGCAGGGGTTTGAGCGCAGCGTCCGGCCAACACCTGTCCGTCAGTGAAGCAGACGCAAGGAGGAGGGATGGTTTATTCTAAGGGCTGAACAGACGCGCTGCTTGGAAAGTCATCCGGCCGGCAGTCAGGATCCAGAGAGGAGGAAACGGCATCAAATGACCCGCTCAGCTCGATCAGGGACTGATCAGTGTCTCTCTCTCTCTGCCTGTCTGAGTGCGCTTCAGTCTGGACGCCGGTGATACATGAAGTCACTCATCAGTTCACTTGCACCTCACGTACGGTGTGTGTTTTTCCTTTTAGACCCAGCCTCCATCGCGTCATCCTGTGGTCCAACTACTCCAATCCTTCTCAATGGGCTACAATTTATCATGCCCCCCTTACCCTTACAACATCGAATTTATATATTTATTAGCAAAATCACATTGTCTTGTTTTATTTTTTCCTGTTTTAGGTATA